ACCACCTCTGCCTTCCACTGCCAAAGACTCAGTGGTCCCTCAATGCCTAAGAGTTTCTGACCAGGGGCCCCTCAGCCATTACCCATCTGCCCTGTCCCCCAGACCCCTCTACCACCCTCCCAGAAGTAAAGCATGCTGCTTCCTGGACTGGGTATCCCCCTGTCCTGGAATGCTACTAAGGTTTGCCCAGTAGCCTCTTCAAAAGCTCCGGGTAGGCTTTTGCTAGAGTTCGTTATTGCAAACCCTGACGGCCCTCACCTCAGACTTTCCTATCATAATGCATATGTCCATGAGGGAATATAGAGATGTACGGGTAGACACTGTGACCACCCCAGAATCTGAGCCATCGGGCATGGTTTTCCTCTCAGCCCAGTCACCTCTTAAAGCCCTTGTTGTCACAGACACGGTGTGACACACGTGCCACTGAATCTAGTGTCATCCCTGTCATAGCATTAAGGAAGCTAAGGCCCAGAGCAATTGCTTCTCCTGCAGCTGGATTCTAACCCAAACATCTAGTGCAAAGGCCACATCATGCCCACCTCTCTGTTACAATCTGTGGGCTGGAGGGTACATGTTTTGAAGGGACACTGAGCCCTTTACCCTGCCAGATGTCATGAACACAAAGTATTTTTCCTCAGTGTCTTCTTGTATAGCTTTTTTTTTTAAAAAAACACATTTCTCCTCTGCCCACTTTTAATATGCTGGAACAAGCTAAAAATACAACATATACCATATAAAAATAATGCTTCTCTCAGGCTTGTCTTTTCTGGCAGAGAAACTTCCCTATTAGGACAAACCAAAGGATGTGCATTTTCAGCCGCCAGGGATAGGACGCATGCAAGAGAAGGCCAGAGAAGACAGCAGACAAAATTACCATGGCTCTGCAGAGTGAGACAGCCACAGAGTTATCCTACTCACAGGCTGAGGGTGAGGGAGGAGGGGGAAGAAGAGGGTTTCGATGACTGTCATACTGAGAAGCAGCAGGGACCAGCCTGAATCTGCCTGTGAAACAGGGCAGGACATCACACCCAGGCCCGCGTGACCTAAGGGCTTTATATCCATAGAGGCTCTGATCCAAGCTGCCCTTCCAATGAGAGGTCGGACATTTATGTCGACCATGATTGCCAGCCTAATGTTGTTAGAGTTAAAATAGTTTAAACCAGTTTAATGGATGCAGGAGCTCACCAGAGGGCATCTGGCAAAGCTGGAAACGTTGGCCAGGAAAAAAAAGCAAAATAAATGATCTTAATGCTGCAGTGGCCGCTTTCTTCCTATGTTTCCCTCCTGGCTCTCCTGTTCCTCCTTCTCCCCTCTTTCTCTCCTTCCTTTCACCATCCTCCTCTTCTCTTCCCTCCTCCCCCTCCTCTTTCCTTTTCTAACTGTATTGAGAGTCTATGGTCGGCCATGACTGGAGTGTGTCCCCAGAGTTCCTAAGTCCTCAATGTGGCAATGCTGCACCTTTTAGAGTTGGGGACTGTGTCATGTGATCATGTGTCATGTCACTGAGGGTGTGGGAGAGATGCTCTTGCAGGGATAGATCTTATGAGAGTGGGCTGTTGTTTGTCCTGCCATGACGCCATCCTCCTGTTACGACACAACCACCAAGGAGACCCTTACCAGAGCCACTGCTGTGCTTCTGAATCTCCAGAACTTTCTTTGTACACTCAGCCTGATGTGTTGTGTCATAGCAACAGAAAACAGGCAAATGCAGAGTGTACAGTGACATCTGTTTGAACTTGTTTCAGTCTTAAAACCCTTGATAATAAAAACTCCTGAGCTTAGAACAGCATATGGGCATCCCACCTGACCTCAGAGGTTCCAAGGCAGAAGTGAAGGTTTGTGTCTTAAGGAACAGCACACGGCAGGTGGGTTCCTGGCCACTGCCACCCACTGGCTGCATGGGCTTGAGTGGTCTCCCAACCAAATCTGAACATTCTGCTTTGGATAGGAGGTCTGGTGCAGAGCCTGTCTAATGGGAGTGTCATCTAGTTGAAAGAGACAACAGGAAGTGCCCAAGACAGGGTCCTAGGCTCCTAACAGACCAACAGCTATGACACTGCCTTTTAAAAAAGTGTGTGTGTGCGTGTGTGTGTTTGTGTATATATGAACTATACTTGTGTGTAGGGGTGTCTGTTTGTGTATATATGAATTATACTTGTGTGTAGGAGTGTGTGTGTTTGTGTGTATATATATTGTGCTTGCATATGTGTTTGTGTGCATACATCTGTACTTGTCAATGTATGTGAACTGCACTCGTGTGTGTCCATGTGCGCATATATAGGTATGCTTGTGAGTATGTATATTGTACTTCTGTGTCTATGTGTGCTTTTGTGTGTGCATATATATGTGAACGTGTGCATGAGTATATGTGTGTGTGTGTGTGTGTGTACAAGCATGCGCATCCATGTAGAGGCCAGAGGACTTCAGATGTCACCCTTAGGAACCCCTTTGTGATAGGAGCATCCTTTGTGACAGGGTCTCTCTTTGGGCTGGAGCTCGCCTATTAGGCTAGGCTAGCTGGTCAGTGAGCCCTAAGGATCTACCTGTCTCTGCCTTCTCAGCGCTGGAATTATAATCATGCCTGGTCTTCTCCAGGGGTTCCATGAGATCAGGACCCTCTGCTTGTGGGGACTGCACTTTACTGTCCATCTCTCCAACCTGAAGCTGCTCACTCTAGAGAGCACATGCTTGTCTAAACAAAGGCTGTCGGCCACTAACAATCAATCCCCAGCCCAGGACACAGATCCCTTCATGCTGATGGGACACACGCGCACAGGTTCAATGCCCAGGACTTAAAGAGGTAACTCTAGTCCCAGGCAGAGGCAAGCCCTCTTTTCTTTGACACCTTGATTTAAAACAATAGAAAGGCCAAGTTTCTGGGCTCTCTGCCAGCAGGCAAGACAGACTGTTTTCCTGCAGGGCCCCCCAATTCTCATGGCAGAACACAGAACTTGGGAAAAATGCAAAGCAAGACGCCATCTGCTTGGCTTCCGGACAGTGCAATTAGCTGAGAAGTGCCTTTACATCGTCGCAGGACTGCATTCAGTTGGGATTAATTAATTGCCGTGTTAATGGGAAGCACCTTTAGCGCTCCAATGACATAATCACATACAATTAGGAGCATAGAAAGGAGCCCTTTATAATTAATGATGTCTTCACTTCCTGAAACGTGTAATCCTTCTGTCCTCAATTCCAAAGAGGTTTGCAGACAGAAGGCCCTAAATATAGATCCGGAACTAATATTTAAATCACTTTAAAATTCACCTTTCCATAAGACTAGTGAACCCAGAACAAAAACTCACTTCGGTTTCTAGGATTCTGTGCTTTTTAGTCCATCAGGTTAAATAGTCAGCAAGCACGGGTTCAAACTGAAATGGCCAATAATTACGGGCCTGATATATTTATCCTAAATAGAATGAATTTTGCCCTACCAAGCATACTAACTCATTTGCAAGACATGAATTAAACTCACGCCAATTGTCCTTGCTGTGATTCACCTTTAAAAGCACTCCAGGAGCCGGAGAGACAGGTTAATGCTTAAGAGCACTGGCTGCGCCTCCAGAAGACCCAGTTCAATTCCCAGCTCCCACATGGCAGCTCACAACTGCTGCAATTCCAGTCTCAGTGGATTCGACGCCCTCTTCTGGTACTCCATGGATACTGCGTGCATGTTACACATACACATGCAAGTGAAACACCCATATACATAAAATAAATACACTTTTTTTTTTTAGTTATAGCACTCTGTCCCTCACCTTCATGATGTAAAAATGAGACTGGCTTTGCTTCTAATTCAAGAAGTTACTAACAAGCCAAATGTCACCTGCCAGGCACGGATCTAAGTATTTATCATGCAGCAAATCCTCACAGGGACTGACTGTGGAATCGCTATGCTTCCCATTTCACAGACAGGAATGCTGAGGGGCCAGATCCTTGACAGTAATATTGTGTCCAGGGCTGGAAGTGTAACTCAGTGTTAGAGAACTTGTCTAGCATGTACAAGGTCCCAGGACACAATCCCCAGCACATAAGGAGTGAAATATGGCACCCCTAAACTATCATTTCCCTGGAAAAGTCCTTCTGACTGAACTCCTGACCAGAAAGAATGGACAGACTTGGTAGACTGTAATTCTTGGTTGTTCGTTTGTTTGCTTGCTTGTTTGTTTGTTTTTTTTTCGAGCTTTTAATGTTTCTCAGGGTAGCCCTGGACATCCTGGAACTCACTCTGTAGACCAGGCTGACCTCGAACTCAGCAATCCACCTGCCTCCCGAGTGCTGGGATTAAAGGCGTGCACCACCATGCCTGGCTCAGACTGACTGTAATTCTTATTGTTCCCAGAGCCAGTTGGCATCTTAGCCCTGCTGACAGCCTGACACGAGTAGATGCCTGTCTTTCAGTATAAAGGGGGGAGGGTGCAAGAACTGAGCCCCCAAGGGTTCCCACTGGAGGGGAAACTCTCAGCTGGTTTTTCTCAAAATTAATGGTATAGATTGCCCCCCCCCCATCTTCTTGTGTTTTCTGTGAGTTGTTTGTACACGTGTTCATGTGTAGGCATGTGCATAGAGAAGCCAGGGGACAACCTGAATCATCATTCTCCAGGTTCCACACATCAGCCTTTTTTTAAAAAAACAGGGTCTCTACATAGCCGAGAACTTTGCAATTAGGCAAGGCCGGCTGGCCCATGAGCCTCAGGGATCCTCCTGTCTCCACTTGTCTGGCTCTGGGATACCAAGAGCAAGCATATTCCACCATACCATGCCTTTGTCGTGGGTTCCAGAGATTAAATTCAGATCCTGTGCCTGCAGGACAAGCTCTTCACTAACTGAGCTGCCACCTGGTCAAACCACTTCTGTCTTCTGACTGGATGCACAGCCCAGGCTCATCTGCCTTCCTCAATGAACTAAGAGAGGAGACCCCCTCACCGCCCGCCACCCCACATAGGATGCCCTGCCCCGCCCCTCACCGCCCCACCCCCCCATGACGCCAAGCCTTGCTTTACCTTGTCGTAATAGTATCTCAGCGCTCTGCTGAGCTTGTCGTAGTTCATGTTTGTCTTGTTCTTGCGGAGGCCCCACAGCTTGGCCACTTCTTCCGCCTTGAGGAGCTTGAACTCGCCATCGTTAGATGTCCAGCAGATGAGGTGCTCATGTTTCTGGTCCAGCAGCAAGTGCAAAAGGAACTGCCACAGCGTGATTGCACTCTCCATACCTGGGGTGGAGGGGAGGAGGCAGGCAGGTCAGAGAGTGGGTCTGTGAGCCAGGGGCTGTGCAGGGCTCTGCTCTAAGGCTCTGCTCCACAGAGCTTAAGAGAGAGTACTTTGTACCCCATTCCAATGGACTGCCTAGTCACACACAGGCTTTCTGGTTCCACGGATATGAGCAGCTTTGATCCAGGAACACAATGGCAGTGCCTGAAATTCGCCAATCACACACCAGCACAGACCACCCTGTGCTGGGAGCTATGTAGAATAAACTGACTAAAGGAATGTAGTAAGTTCCCATTGGCTAGTTTCATCTATTCCCGCCCATCACATCAACTGCATCTTGCTCGGTCACACTTGCTGAAGTGTGGCCATGAGCGCCTGCTAGGGCTAAGTGAGGTCACTCAGGGGTCTGGGGTTATGAAGCCATAGCATCCCTTGGTTGAACTGTCCTTTCACCCTATAGAGCTAGCCTTGCTTTGCAGGGAGGGGACCTCAGTTACTCTCTGCACTGCCAATGATCTCAGAACCCAGGACCGTGCTTGCGTAGAGCAGATATCCAGTCAGTAGATGCTGGTTAAGGAATCAGTTGTTGCCAACTGAAGAAGAGAACTTCAATTTCCTAAGCATTTTTCATGTAGTCGCCCAAACCTCACAATCTCAAGCACACCGGCAGGAAGTGGTTTTCCCACCAGGAGAGGAAATCCCATAAGACAATGTTATCCTTCATCTTTGCCTGTAGCGTGAACTCTGGGCTCCTTCCTCCTAACATGCTGCTCGCCGCCTCTTAGATCCTGGTGGACTCCGTTAATCCATACAGGCACGGTTCGGGTGGGATCACTGGACTGTCTGATCTGAACTTTGATCACTTGAGTTTATTCATAAGAAATTACCCCTTTGTTCTATTACACTTGTGTATTGAGTATGTGTGCACCCATACAAAGCATGGCTTGTGCATGATGGTCAGAGGACAACTTGCAGCAGTCCATTCTTTTCTTCCATCGAGTCCTGGGGATTGAACTCAGGAAGTCAGACTTGCTGGCAGGCACCCTTAGACCCACCGAGCCAGCTTGTCAGCGTTACCCGTTTATTTTACTAACGTTCATATAATTAGGAAAAGCCTTCCTACAGGTTAGCTGGTGAGAGCGAACACTGCGGGTGTTTTGATCTGGGCAAATGGAGCTGAGATTTGGGTGCTGAGTCTAGGGGGCTCAGCAAAGACTTCAAGGTGGGGTTTGGGGGTTCTACATCAAGACACACAAAAGCCAAGCTGTGAGGATGTCATCAAGCCTGACAGGATGAGGAAACTCCATCTATGGCAAGGAGACAGTGGGGTCTGTTTGGGACAGCCCAGGGTAACAACAAGGAGGACAGCAAGAAAGATGCCTGGAAGACAGAATACCGGCCACGAGTAGAGTTTTCTACAGTGAGTCCCCTTCAGTCTTTATTCTCATTGCTCTTCATTGAGCAGCTCCTAGGTGGCCTAGGAGCCAGAGAAAGGCAGGCTAGGCAGTTCCCTTCTGATAGATCTCAAACTGCCCGACATCTTTCTGCATCTTCAGGCTGGTCCCATGGGGCAGAAATACTGCTCAGTGACAAGCGCTTGGCCAGCATGGGTTCCACACCACCACAAGAAGCAGCTTTGGGATTCTGACAGCAAACCCCCATTGCAGTATGAAAACCCCTAGTCACCCCTAACAAGCATTCCCTTCCTGCTTCCTCACAGGCCCAGCCAGAAGAAAGAATCCTATTGTTTGTTTCTCTGAGCACCATGGGTGCCACCCGGGTGTCTCTGTTAAAGAAAATTCAGACTAAGAGCGTGCTACAAAAACCCAAGGGTGTTTTATCTATAATTCTTGAAACGAGGTATCTGTAAAGAGATCACCCTTCACCACAGTGGGTCACTGGGTCTGTAAGAGCCAGCCGTGTTACTGCTGACTTCAAACCACACCAGCAACTCCTGAGCTCTGAAAGGGCTGCTGGCAGGACGTGCAAGCATTTGGCTCCAGCCCCTAATGAGCTCGAATAAGCCACACACGTTTCAAATTCATGGGTGTCTCCAGCCAAACCTTCTGGCAATGAGTTTTTAAAATATCTTTGAAATGTAGTGGTCACTCAGAGGAGCCTTCCTGGAGAGGCAGAGAGATGCCAGCCAGTTTGGAGTTCTGCAGAGAGGGACGTGCTTAGCCTGCCTCGCTCTTCCCAGCTTCACTCCTTTAAGGGGCCAGGCAGCACCACACTAAAGTGGGGCCCTACATCCTCAGCACACTGAGAGCTGGGCTTAGCAATGTATCTTGATCTAGTCAGCGAAATACTGGGTTGAAGTGATGAGATATATAGAATTGACCTCAATTTTATCAAAGCCTGGCACAGGTTCAGTCTGAAGAAGCGGAAGTAAAATAAATGCAACAATCAGCCAAGGACTCTTGGGATTGTTACATAGCATCACCACAGCAAAAGCTGACTGCTACAACATCACACATATGTGTCCCTCCCTTCACTAGGTTGCCCTCGGGAGCTCAGGGAGGCATGAAAGGCCAGAAAGGGAGCAGGTCTTTGGTGGAAATGGGGCACTCTGCTTCAGGGCCTCCTACATTTCTGGAACATTCTGAAACAGAGGAAATGGACCCACAGAAGGCCAGGACCTCAGAATCACCCAACAACTCTTAGGACAGAGCACAGTCTGTGAGGTGGCAAGCTGCAGCATGGATCACTCAGAGTTGCTGCGAGCAACTGTGCTCCCTGGAGGTGACTAAGAGCTCAGGCTTCATGTGTGGAGGAAAGCGTTCCACCCAGCACAGACTTGTTCTTCCTCCAAGCTCACACCAGCCACTGCTCTATCCTACTCGATGCCGCTCCAGTTTTGATGACTGAGTCACACCAAGCTCTACTTTGTATCGGAAGCCCAAGCCACACATTACTCAGTGGTGACTTTCAGACATATTTCTCCTCGAGCCAGTTCACAGTCCCACGGTAGAAGCCATCCTGTGGGAGGGGTGGGTCACAGAAGCAGAAGGCGCGGTTCTGACACCCTGCCCTCACATCAAGTGGTGTGACATGGAGTCACAGAGGCAAGATCAGGCTCAGGGCACAAGCCATGTTTCTTTGACTCCGTTTCTACTGGTCATTTTAATTATGGCCGCGCCAAATTTTGTAACTTGCTGATGTTTACATATACAACCATCCAGCATGTCACCCCACTTCTATCCCCAATACCTGTCAATATTTGTCATTTAGAATGTCCAGAAAGAGAACAGTAATAACTCATGTACCTGAGGGTGTGTTCTAAGAACTGTGACCGGCTGTACTTCACTCAGTTTACTGTGGGACTTAACCAAGAGGAAGAATTCCCAAAAGCCTTGCCACTTAGGCAGGCTGGGGCTCCGTTATCGCAGCAAGTGTTTATATGGATACATTGTATCTATGAGACTGTATCGGATTGGAATACCGCATTGATACAATGTCCTGGTAGCAGAGCCGGCTTAAGTTACAGTGTGTCATCAGCTGACATTCATTTGGCCGGTGGCCCAGACCTGCTAGCTTCCAATGACTAGAACACTTGAAAGCAATGCAAGAAATGTGACGAATGCACCCACATCCATTCCCCTGGTAGGCTGGGCTTTTAAATGTTCTTGCCTACCGCACGTTGAGTTTTGTTGGTTCAGGATGTGTCGGCACTCACAAAGGGCACCCATCAAATCAGGATGGTGGGTTCTCTCCTCTATTTTTGGAGCCTCAGACTTCTGTCTTCTATGTCTTCATAAGATAAACAATAGACTATTGTTAAGTATAGGTTTTTAGAACAGAACTTACACTCCCAGCTGTGTACATTGGCTTCTGCTATCAACCCCCCCCCTTCATCCAACCTTCCCACCCTTCCAGCGTCTAGCATTGACTACACTCAAAGTCACTTGTTTAAAGCATTCACAACACACTCTGCTATTGTTTATTTGTTTGCTAATTAGAACATGCTTCTCTTGCCCTGCCCAGATCTTGTTTTGAATACATGGGGTTTTATCAGGTATTTTTATGCCATCCTTTAAAAAAAATTATTATGAGGGGAAGGGCATATGCACATCATAGCATAGGAGCACATGAATGGAGGTCAGAGGAAAGCTTCATGTAGTCAGTTCTCAGGGATGAAACTCCGGTCTCCAGGCTTGCCCGCAAGCACAGTGTCTGCTGACCGTCTTACCAGGTTGAGTCTCATCATGCAGGGACTGTAAATGTTTATGTACCGCATGTACTAATGTTGCTGATTTGCTTGTACACAGTACACAAGTATCAAAACACCACATCACACCTCATAAATACATACAATTACCATGTCAATTAAATGATTAAAATAAAAGAAAATGGCTCATCAGTTCCGAAAAAGCAAACCTCCCTTGAAAGAGGCAGGAAGCAGACTGACAGACTGGCCCTGTTGACAGCCTATCTTTCTTTATTACACTTTTTTACTGTCGTCTTCCCTTCCACGTAAAAGGCAAAGCTGGGTATAAAAGGCTCAGGACAAGCAGCTCTTGAAGGGTGATATGAAATTCAGAAGCAAAAGCCAATCCTCTCCCAGCCCATTCAGATTAACAGCTAGCTTCACACGTGGCAGATGATGTTTGCTGAAACCTGTCCACATCTCACAAAACAAAATGAGACAGGGCCAACAAGACAGCAAGGCAGAGAAAGGCGCTTTTCTCCACAGCCTGGCATCCTGATTTCTATCCCCAAGATCCACAGAGGGAAAGGAGAGAATCAACTCCAACGACTGGCCCTCTGACCTCCACATGTATGCCGTAACACGTGTTCCCAGATACGTATGTGCCCATGCAAGGCGCATGTACATGTGCGCGTGTGTATGTGCACACAGAGAGAGAGAGAGAGAGAGAGAGAGAGAGAGAGAGAGAGAGAGAGAACAAGAATAAATAAATGTAATAAAAATAAATACATTAAAAGCTATGATACTGAGAAAGTCAATGTAGATTTTTTAAATAAGATATATATAACATATAGT